TGTGGCCAAAAAGGGAGGGATGCTGTGCAGTGTAAAGCAGCTGTAAGGTGTTGATCTCATGGACAAAGCACTTTTCCTGTTATCTGCTAGTCTTCAGGAACATTACAGGTGTTTTTTGTGGCAATCATGGCTATTGCATAGGAACGGGGATAGGAACAGCAAAACATGAATGTTTTCTATTATATCCTTTCAGGCACCAACTGGAAGACGGCTATGCTGGTCCTCAGCCCCTTGGCATTCATATTGGGATTAATAATACTGACACTCAATCTTCATTACAACAAGTAAGTGAGATTAAGCTTCATTCCGCTTGCCACTTCCCTGTCTAGTATTTCAAAAGTCTTGATTTTGGCACCCTTCCCAATCCCACACCTGAATCATCCAGCTCTGAGCAGATGGCTCTCTTCACCCATGATGTCACCCCTGATGATTTTTTCTCTTTGCAACCCTGTTTCTCCCTCCCACTCACTATCCCACCCAAATCCAGCCACCAATGTTGGCTCCTTTTCCCCTACACATGTCACACCATCCCTGAAGGTTTAGGAAATTTGGACACTGATTGCTGATCCAGTTCACATGGAGAAGCAACCAAGAGACAGGCAGATGCAGTTACATACCTTCTTCTCTCATCTCCTAGGAAGAAGAAAATCCTCTCTGCTCTGAAAAGCTCCCCAGCCAACAGCAGCAGAGCTGACTTACGGGAGCCGTCTCCCTTACGAAGAGGGCCCCAGCCGTACCTTCCACCATCTCGCTCCCCATCTTTGAGGCATGGAGAGATCCTCATTGAGTGGAAAGATGGGACTGTCACTCCCCTTTTTGCTAATGCCAATTATCAAATGGACTAGGTCCAAAATAATGGAGCTGTTGTTCCATGCTGTGTCATTCTTCCCACCAGGAAGAGTGCCACCATAGCCAGTCTTCTCCCTGGCCTTGCTGTTTTGACAGGGAGATGTAAGCGCTGTTTGGTTTTTTTTTTGAACACTTGAGAGCAATCTCCTTGCACAGCACGAGGTTGAAGCAAGCAGAGCAGATTGTTTGGTTTGTATAGGCACACGCTGCTTAGCTCTTCCAGAGCTGATTTAACCCGTAACAAAACCCAGACTTAGCTAAATGAAGCTGAGACTCTTGCCAGCTGCAACTGTCTATTGCCCTTAAATTCTAGAGTTACGGAGCATGTGAGAAAGTAAATCCTTGTAGGCAAGGTGTAAGGTGAAAAACAGAAGTCCCGGTGATCCTTAAATCCTTTTTAAGATAAAAATACCTGCCAACAGACACAGAAGGTTGTCAGTTACTTTGTCAATGTGAGAATATAATAAGCACTGCCTTCAGGACTCAAATTAAAGATTCTCCTCCAGATATCTGCCAAAATACTCCCCCCACTAAGTTATCAATTAAGTAACAGTAAGTCACTTTTCTGACTTAAAAGGTAGCACTCCATCGTCTCCTCTGCATCACTGCAACAGTCCTGCTGAGAGAGTATGTCTCTCACAAAATATTTCCATATTTAGGATGTATTTGACCTTATTATAACACACATCCTCTTTCTTCAATGTAGAATGACAAGTACTGTTGTACTTGTCACATACAAGGTGACGCTTGTCAGGGATATTACATTAACCAGCCATTTTATACCAGCTTCAGTCTCTGATTTCCTATAGTCATATGGCATAGTGAATGAACAGATATACTGCTCCCATCTAGAGCAGTAATGTAGGGTTTTTTTCTAGAAAGGAGTAAGACTGTTTTCAGCCGTCACACTTCTTGTATGAGCCTAACTACCTGTGATCCATCACACTCAATCCTGATCTTTTCTCAGTGAAACTTGCAATGTCTTAGTGTTTTCTGAGTATTCATGAATTTTTACTTTCCTTCTCCCTGATCTTGTGATGCTGTAAACCATAATCACAGCTATAGATCAGGAATTATTTGGAGAAAGAAATACTAACACCAAGAAATTACAAGTATGAGCTGCATCAGTGTATTTGTTCAGCAGTGCAAAGGATACCATATACTAACCTGTCTCTTACTCAGACTTAAACAACACTTTTCACTTTACCTAAATTAACTTTTTGTGCCATTTCAGTGGAGCTTGGACTCTCTAGAGTTGGATTCTATCTAACGTAAGGCAGAAGGTCTCCAGGGAATTCAACTCTCTGAATTTTATGGTTTTTTAGAGTTGTATTTTTCAACATAGAAACATATTTCTTAACATATTTTTCAAACATTTTCAACATAGATCCACAACCTGGTAAAAAGTTAGCTACCACAACATATTATTATGACCAAAAGAAAGAAAATACACACCTTATTGGTTCAGGGCATAAAAATCATAGAGGTTGTAAATAAATGTCTTCCAGGCAGATTATTCCATAATTATTAACTGGTGGGTTTCCTACACACTCCTTGGGAAAGTATTTTACTAGTAGACATGGGCAGAGGAAGAACTCTTTCTTCACCGGTGAGCAGTGAACACAAATACCATAGTTAGAATTAAATTCTGACTTCCCAATATTTCCACTTCAAAATAAATCCAAAGACTTTTGAGTCAAGTTTCCAAATGTGTAAGCATCATTTTACACACAAAATTTGTGGGAATACATTCTGCACATAAATCATTCAAAATGCACACGCAGTGCCTCACCAATTATCACAGTTACATCCTTTATACCTTTTTCTACTACCTTTGAAATTTTGTCCAAGGACCACATTGCCTTACAGTGCACACAACTTGTTACCTTCCAAAACCTTGACACATTTTGGGAACACTATGTATGCAGTGCCATTAAAATGCAAATGCTTACTTGGAGTTCAGCTAATGTTGTGCTTTCCAAAGCAGCAAGGGCTTACGTTCATTACTGAATGGACAAAACAGATGACTTGTTACTGACTCTATAATTCATACTGAATATGCTAATCTTGGTTATAAACATGAAGGCAGTAACACCATTGTTTACATAGCACTGATTAAATGGTAGCTCAAACAATAATGAAAAAATAAGACTGTGAAGCAGCACAGGCTTTTAACTATTTTTCTCCCCTCTCTTTTACTGGTTGTTCTCTTCTAGTTATTTCTCACTGGTTTACCTACATTAGATGCTAGAGACCAAGTTTGCCAAGGTATGGACAGAGGAGCTGAAGGTGTGAGTTTTCATCACGAGAGGTCTTAAAAACCATGTTAGCCAAATACCCATCAGGAAAGACTCCAAAATAGCAGATTCCGCCTTGGGGCTAGACCAGTTGACAGTGGGAGACATCTTCCATCCTCTGCTCCTAAAGCTACCTGAGAAATGCTCAGAGCAATTGCACAACCTGTGTGCTTGTTCACTCTCTTCCATCACCTGAATGCAATGCTTTTAAACAGTGTTCATAATCAAAATAAAACTTGACTGTAAAGTGGTGGAAGCACTGAAATTATTTGTGTGTGTGTATATATATTAAAAGCCCCTTATAGTGCATCCTTTTTTATGTGTGTGTGTGTATATATATATACAGGATACAAAAAAGGATGCACTATAAGGGAGCTTTTAGAAATCACTCTACAGGAATATAACAGAATGATGAGCAAGACACCACTGTCACAGTGGTACTAACATTATTAACATATGGTGCACCAAAGGATGAGTGCCACGTAACTGGAGACTAACACAGTACTAAACTGCTGCCCCTGTTTCTCAGTCCAGTTATGCTGCATCTCTGGTACCAATCACAGGTCTTCTCCAGGGATGATGTGATGCTGATGACCCTCTTTTCACTCCTGCAGCGAGGAGAAAGACAACGTGGAAGTAGAACCCACTTTCTCATGCACTGATTTGCTTTGCAAGGTCCAAGTGCCTAAGCAGCAAAGGCTAGAGGAGACCTAGGGAAGAAGCGACACTTATTGTCCCCCAAAGTTCCTTGGGACTCAGAAAACCTCATTCATCACCTAAAAATTTTAATAATACTGTGATGTTTTTTGGTACTTATGTTCCAAAACATCCAAAAGACTATGAACCATTATTATGACCTGAACATGCATACAGAGTGCTGACAACCTCAGCTCCCACCGATGTCAATGACAAAAGAGAGGCCACAAGAAAGCTGATGCAGGTGAGCTCATGAGTACCACCGCAGGCTACCGCAATCATCGGCACGAGTATCCACAGCACAGCACTGGCAGTGCACATGGCCCTACTGCCCACACATGGGTGCAGGCTGCAGCCACAGAAACACAGATGCTATCAAATGGACAGAAGATTGCACATTAGCTTAGATATTCTGTGTGGAAAATGATATATTGGGCAGACAGATTTCCCTTTCCCAACCCCCTGAATAATGATAGCCAAGGTGTCTGTTAAAAAGCAAAAAATGAAAAGAAAGATGCAGAAGAAGAACTTCAAGTTTATCATTTACATGCTGTACATCAACAGTTTACTAAGACTCTTTGGATGAAAAATGTTTTCATAACATTACATTAGTGATGTACATAAATTCATGATATAAACAAACAAGACCTGAAATGGTTTGACAAGTTATCACAGCATATTAGTGGAGGAGTTGGGAACAGAACTACTGCTTCCCCATTTGAAATGCAAGGTGCAACTTCTGCATTAAACATTTTGTCATTAAAAATCTCCGTATACTCATTTTCTCAACTCTGTAGTTCTACATCAGAAAGTCGAGGAATAAAGTGTTTGATTTTTCAGAAAGACCTCTCATTGTTCAGCACTTCAAGGAGGGGCAAGGGGAAGGAAAAAGAAAAGGAGACAGGGACAGAGGAAGTCTTTGGTAGCTCTGGGTTTCAGATCAGACATCTCTGGCTCACGGTTCAATCAGACCACGCTTTTTTGTATTAGGTAGGGGAGACAAAAGCACTAGCTCTTTAAAAGCTCTTTACTGAATTTGTATAGATTTAAAAAAGACAGCTACATTTCTGCAGCCATATAGTTCTTCTCCTGGTTAAAAAAACAAAAAAAAGCAGGCTATGCTTCTTCAAAAATTCCCCTTACGCTTCACAAAAGCATTTATTCTTTGGAGCAGAGAAATTGATGTACTTCTTTCAGTGTTGCTTGCATGTCCTCATATTCTGCAAATTTGCAAGCATCCTCCAGCTTCAGCCATTGGAAAGCTTGGTGCTCCTCTGAGAGCTTGATTTCGGTGTTACAGTCCTTCATTTCTGCCAGCCAGTAAATGACGGTCTTCGGTTTGCCACGGACAGGATAGTGCAGTTCTTTTTTGTACCCCTCTATGAGGGTGAGCTGACTGGCCTGAAGACCAGCCTCTTCTTGTGTTTCCCGGAAGGCTGTCTGCAGGTCATCCTCTCCTGGATCCACATGGCCTGTCAAGAAGGTCAAAAAGTAAGTCTCTGAGAAGGAAACTCAGGTTTTGTTTATTCAATTGACAATTAGGAAACACTGGGAGGCACAGATAAGACTACACTGTAGATGATACAGAATCAAACGGAAATCGGACAACAGAGATTGTTTTTCCAAGTGTCATGTCTTGATTCATCTTTGTCTCATGGCTTTAGGATCGTTGTTTATACCACACCTTCTGAAAATCCCAGTGGCCTGTCAGCACTAGACCTCTTTTCCTCCCAGTGCTCCTCTCCTCTTCTGCAGCACTCTGCACCCATAACCACAGAATGGTTTGGGTTAGAAGGGACCTCCAAAGATCATCTGGTCCAACCCTCCTACAATAAGCAGGGAGATCTTCAACTAGATCACATTGCTCAGAGACCCATCCAACCTGACCTGGAATGTTTCCAGGGATGTTCCACATTAGATCATACGGACATGACTCATGAATGCTTCCCCTTTATCCAGTTAAGAGGGGAGACAGCTCATCTGCAAGAGTCTTCGTCCTCTCCCACCCCTTTCCTCCCACAGAAGCTTAAGGCTCAATTCTGCAGAACTCTTACTCATGCCAACAGCCCAGAAACAATGGGACCAGGCACCAACAAATGCCGTTTAAAAGGTAGGTTTCAGTTAGGCAGTTAGGGGTATTTTTGTCTCTCTCCCATATTTCCCTCTGAAACACAGCAAGCCTAAGAGACAGTCCTTTCAGCAGCTGCATAGTTCGTCTAGGACACATCATTTATTTTATGTTGCTCAGAATGAGAGGTGCCATTACAAACAACGGACAAATATAACATATTCCCAGCTGTTTGTACTTTTGTTGAGAAATGTCAGATTTGGTTTTCTCATGAAAACCCCAGACCAGAACATAAATAGAAGCCAAGCAAGATCTCAAAAAAGCAACATAGCAGGAGCTGGGAGACTTCAAGAGGGAAAGTTAGGCTTTATTTTGCCCCTGGTGTCACTCTATTTTCTATACAGTTGTCTGCATATAGCTGTAATTTCACCACAGAGATGAACCTTTCCTCGGGGCTCAGGTACCCAAAGCCACCCTTTAGTACTAGAACTGGGGTATGTGGGAAGCTCATTTTGCTTTCCCAACAGGTCTCACTCACTTCTTTGTCTGTGAATCAGAAGCTTAAACACCTCTTACAAAGTGACATCAATTGCAAATTTAAACTATGCTTCTATTTTAAGCAGCAACTGTGCAGAAAACAGAATCTGATGTTGCACTTGATGTCTCAGATATTTGAGATCAAATACAGTGAGGCTTTGAGTAAAAATATTTTTCCTATGAATCTCAGCACTGCAAGTCAAGCTGTCTCCTTTTTGTCAAAGTATGTATTTCCATAGCCGGGACTTATTACTAATAGTTGAGAAACAGAATCCACTTGGCCTTGTACAGCTGGATTACTCTTACAGTACCCACAGCAAATGCCCACAGAACATTCATGAACAGTAAGTAACCACTATTTTTTATGATAGTCATGATCTATGACTCATAGTCACCAAACGTGCAATGAGTTGAGGTAGCAAAAAAGCTGGAGAGCTGGGTTCAGTTTCAACTCAAAGGACACTACAGCAACCTCCTGCTCTCCTGCAGTGACAGTCAGTCACCTCACCTTGCTGCTGCTAACCTCAAGACTAAGCTCAGCAAGTTTCCAACTTGTGCAATAAAGTCTACCTACTGGGAGAAAAAAGGACTGCTGCCAGCACCTCAATCCATGGTGGGGGTTGACCATGAGGCGGTTTACACGGCACCAGGCCTGCTGGCAGCAGATGGGAGTGCAACTTTCTCCAAATGGGAAACGGATTCTAGCTTATGAGTTGGCAGGCCTCATCGAGAGGCCTTTAAACTAGATTTGAAGGGGGAAGGGGATAAAGCCAGGCTCCCTAGAGATGAGCATAGGGGTGGCATGCTGGCTTTGGGGCTGAAACCGATAGCCCAGCTCAAGTGCCTCTATACCAATGCACGCAGCATGGGCAGCAAACAGGAGGAGCTGGAAGCCATTGTGCAGAGGGACAGCTATGACTTAGTTGCCATCACAGAAACACAATGGGATGACTTTTGTGACTGGAGTGCTGCAATAGATAGCTATAAGCTCTTCAGAAGGGATAGGTATGGAAGGAGAGGCGGTGGGGTGGCTCTGTATGTTAGAGAGAGTTTTGATTGTATAGAAGTCAACGATTGTGATGACTAAGTCAAGTGCTTATGGGTAAGGATGAGGGGGAAGGCCAACGAGGCAGATATCCTGCTGGGAGTCTGTTACAGACCACCCAACCAGGATGAAGAGGCAGATGAAGCATTCTATAAACAACTGGCAGAAGTCTCATATTCGCTAGCCCTTGTTCTTGTGGGGGACTTCAATCTACCGGACATCTGCTGGAAGTGTAACAGAGCAGAGAGGAAACAATCTGGGAGGTTTCTGGAGTGTGTGGAAGAGAACTTCTTGACACAGGTGGTAAGTGAGCCTACCACTTGTGTGAGATGTGGTGGTCGGATGCTGTCTTGGGCTTAGCAAGCATGAAATGATAGAATTCTCAATTCTGAGTGAAGTAAGTGCGTGTGGGGGGTGTCAGCAAAACTGCTACCATGGAC